GTCATAGTGACTGGTGCTTGGAGGTCAGCGGGCTTTGAATTTGACGTATTCTCTGATAGCATGTCATGGAAAATTTATAAGTTTCTCCAATTATAGTTTTATGCAGTTTAAATCAATTTTAAAATACACATGTTTCACATCATAATGAGTCATGTTTTTTGTAACTACAACTATATTTGTATGGGGGTACACAAACATTAGTGTACTTTAACGATGCATCAACAGACAGGTTTAGAGTATAACCCTTTGTTTTATAGTGAATCCTGATGTATGTATTTTTCAAGGCTTGACTGTTGTGCTGCCCCAGTGAGTCTATGTTATTTTGTTTTCTTTTATTGCACAGCATAATGAAGCACTCAATATCTTACACATTTTCTAGCACATATGTATATATTTATACACGGTAACATTGGATCGTTACATTGTCAATTATATTGATCACATGATAGGTAAATAAAAGATTGTGTCACCCTCCCATGTTCAAGTTTCCCTGGTCATATTTCCCATTCAGAGCCTGTCAAGAAAAATGGGCAAGATCCACCCCCACTTTTGATTGCCTGAAGCATACGACAACAATGGTGTGTGGATCTGATAATCTCTCCTATGGTGTACGGAATAAACGTAAAGAATGAATCCAACAGTGTCAAATGGATTTTTAATACACCAATACATAATTATCACTGTAACATTATTGTTTCTTTTGGCACAATGAACTGGTTATTGCCCTGATGTTGAAGGGAAACACAATTTTTTGTTTCTCTGAAATTAATCATGTTCAATGATTAATCTTTGAGAAACAAACCATCATGTTAAATTTATGTTTCATTTGTCCTTGGGAAACATAATTAATCTTTGTGGAACAAAGAATCATGTTATCCTACAAAAAGGGCAATACATGTATAATATTCCTCCCATCCAAGATTGTGTAAAAGATTCTGAATTAAATTCCAAATCTGGATCACAAAGTGAAGCAATATTTGGTTGCAACAATGTTCCCAGTCAATGCCTGTTTCGACCTGAGGACCCTTATTTCAATGTTGCTCATAATAAAGATATATTTTTATCATTTCTTAATGAAAGACTTCACTTTGTAACAAACTTGAATATTTCAAATGTATCCTAACATTATCACAAAATAAATCCCTTTCTAGCTTATAACATAGTGCTGTCTCATAAGTATTTACGATTCATTAAATTCTTGCAGTATCATGAAAAATCTTATGATGCTTGATTTATGATGATTTTCTTTCCCTTAAGGAGTGGATGTTGGTGAATTAGGCAGTTATGACGGTGAAAACGAGCAATGCCGTTGTGATGAAGGGTGATGCTCCTCCGCCAACAGGAAGTCCACAGACCTGTAGGATGAGTTTGGCCCTGATGACAGAGTTGGGGGCAAACTTGGTCTCCCTTGTCCAGATCACAGACAACTTCCAACAGGCCATTTGTCGATTGAGAGTGGCTGACAGTATATTTGGCAATTATATTGAATATCATCCTACCGTGTTCCGCAGCTGGCCAGAATCAACAGAAATATCAGACAGTAAGAAAACGTTATTACCAGTGAAATGTAAGGAATGTTCTTCCTCAGGAGATGACCTGAATAAAGAAAACTGGAGGCAACCTCAAACTTGTGATAACAATTTAACATCTACTTCTCAAAGTTGTTGTAATTTTGAACTGCTCAATACAACCTTAGCAGATTATGTAGAAGTTTGTGTTGTGACTAGTATAGAGCATGTAAAAAAAATGAAAAATAAATTAAAAACTAACTCCAAATATTTAGAAGATATCTGTAATAATTTATTGTGTAATTTTGGCATTAAGGAAAATTTCACAGTTGATTTTCAAGTTTCCTTATTAGCAAAGCTATACAATATTTCTCATCTAATAATCAAACACTGTGAAGGAGGGGAGTGTGAACAGGATACAAATGCTTTCATGGTAGGAACACAAACAGTAATCCGTGTGACTGATATACAGAGTACAGAACGATACACAAGTGGATTGTCCTCTACGGCAAGCCCTCTCGGAGGCCTGGAGGAAATTGCTCGGGAGCTTATAGAAACAGTTAAAATCCCTGTAACTTTGGCGGGGTGTTTGGGTAAAGCTGCAGTGAGACCTGTTAGTGGGGTGCTGCTAAGGGGACCCCCTGGCACCGGCAAGACCTCACTAGTCAGGTATGTGGCAAGCCAGACAGGGGCTCACCTGGTCACCATTAACGGCCCAGAAGTGTTTGGTTCCCGCCCAGGCCAGACAGAGGAAGTGCTACAAAAGATATTTGAAAGGGCAGTTTTGTTTTCTGAAGAAGGGCTTTGTATTTTGTTTATTGATGAAATAGATTCTTTGTGTCCAAAGACGAGGCCAGGGGAGGCAATGTCAGACCAGAACGCGTCCGGCTTACTGTTTAACTTCCTGGATAGCCTTCATGAAACTCTCTCCCTGGTTGTGATTGGGGCAACTAACAGACCGGCATCTCTCGACTCTGCACTGCGACGACCAGGAAGACTTGACAAGGAGGTATATACAACTTTGTAAAATAATAAATTATTTAACTGTATGGTAAACAATATCTTGACTTGCAAAAGTACTTGTTATTATAAACATCGTCAAAGTTCCACTATAAGATGCCTCTTATTTTGGACTCTTGCATTGCCTTCGTCTCTCAGTCAAATTCAATTCAATTTCAGGAAATTATGATATTACAAGGGTGAACAGATTTCCTAGCTCTTGTATGCTGGGCAATAAATTGTTTATAATACTAATATATAGAAGCAACAAAACCATAATCAAATTAGAGTATCAATACTTTTTGTATGATTATCCATTACAATAAACAAACATGGCAGAAAAACAAACTTTGCATTTTCCCTCCTGTTGCAGACAGTTTATTGAAACACTTCTGATGCAGTATATATTGAGTTATAAGTCAGAAACTTGCCTATTCTCAGCTTGTCTAGGCCATAAATACTAACAATATAAAGCATGAAACAGTCAAAATTGTGTATCATTA